TCAGTCTAGCGGGCATCTTCATTTCTGCTTGTTGTAGTTAAGTATTCTGAACGTGGCAAAACTGGTTACCCTCCACGAAGGATAGTTTCGGCCACGTCTGTCCCTTAGGTAATTAATTTTCGATGGCAACCAAGCCAGCGTTTAGAAATGAATTACTTTTCTACAACGAGAAGAAAACACAGACAAAGCAGCAGGCTGAGAAAGCAAGAATTCCAACAAGGAGAGTGTTTTCTATGTTCATGCTTCTTCCTACTTAACTTTCCTTGCTATGGTGTTCATTGTATGTGCTTTTTCTTCAGAGCACTTAAAAATATAAATTTCCTGCTGTCATGTAGTGTAGATTTTCTGTTTTTGACTACTGTGTTGGGTTGGGCAGAATGTGCCGTTAGTTCGTGATAACTTATGGAAGTCTCCTCCACGCTTCGCATGAAAGGTCAGTGTAGGTGTGGTGGCTGTCTCATTACACATTAAGGAGGCCGAGTGTACGAAGTGTCATGAAGGAGACTGTTGGTGTATTCGATAAGTCGGAAAAGCCACCAGATGATTAGAAGTTAGCCAGCGACCAATCAAATTCAGAGGTTGATTGGAGGCCTTCACTTTAGCTGGAAGTCCGTTCCACAACTGAGAGAATTTGACGGTGAAGAAGCTTGCGCGCAAGCAAGACTTAAACCATTTCATTTTGACGCTGTGGGCGTGGTTGCGCGGATCGTAACAACTGTTGTGTTCGAGCTGAGCTCACCGCTGGCTGTAAATGTGTGTTTAGGCGACACATAAAAGAAGAGTAACGGGTTAATTTTGAGCAGTTTCATCCAAAATTTTTCTAGACTTGGTGTTCTGCATCTGGAGATGTAGTCCTGTTTGCAATCGTGTCCTAATAATCTAGCCGTGAAATGCCTTTGAATACCCTCTATTTTATGTTCGTCTATTATGCGGATACCACTCAGTATAAATGGACAGTATTCTAATAGTGGACGTACGCAAGTTTTGTAGGGCAGTAACTCGACTTCTTTGAAATGGAAGTTACGAGCTATGCAACCCATCAGGATCCCAGATTTGCGAGTCTGTAATGTTACCTGTTCAGAAAATGTGAGGTCCCTTGAATATCTTAGTCCAAGGTCACATACACTTCTAATAACAGGAAGTTTCGTAGACTGGAAATGTAGTTGGATATCCACCGATGGAGCACCAAAACATATCAGCCGCATTTGCCCATATTGAACTGAAGTTTCCAGGCAGCAGACCATGTGGATATTATATCGAGCTCCCTTTGTATGCTTGGAAGTGGGATAAATCGTCACGGGTGAGTGTATGCAACTTTTCGGTCATCAGCAAACGAGAATGGTTTACCGTATGTAAAGTAGCTGTAGATGTTATTGACGTATAAAGTAAAGAGAAGGGGACCTAATACACTGCCTTGAACTGCACTGGCTGCATTCTTTAGGTCGCTTCGTTGACTCCTTTTGAAGATTGGTGTCACGCGCCCCAAATATCAAGTACCGGGTATTTTCCCCTGACTCAGAGAACTCCTAGATAACTTACCTCAGTGCTCATACAAGATTGATTCTCCTTACCTCAGCACCGCCGTATGGATTTTTCCAGTCTTGCAGGAGAGTCTTTTGTCAGTGGTAGCGGTTTGCGTAATACTAGCTCAGCGTTTAAGCCAGAGACCGAGAGCCCTATTTCGGCGGTGGGATATTCACAAACCCACGGGCAGACGAAGAATGACGAAAAGATTTGTGAATACTAGTCGACTAGGGGCTCAGCTACTCCGCTGTCACCACTAGCCGGTTCGTTGGTACCTAGTGGCTGTGAGACCCCCGCCCAGCCCGCCAGAGCGATGCAGCGCAGCCAACCAGACTTCTCGGGTTAAAAGAAACATATTTATATGCGTAGCCTGTTTCCTCTGTCGATCAGCTCTCATTGCTCTCGTACATGTTTCTCGTCTGTTTGAATAGTCTGTAAGCGTACCTTCCGTAAATCCTTCTGCGCTTGACCCAGTGCTGTCCCTATAACCTAAGCAGTTTGGTGGTGTATCTCTCTGTTATCTTGGGCAACATGGAGTACTTCGATATTCAAGGTGAAACGCACTGGCTAATTAGACGTTTTAGTTTGCCGAATGTCAATCTCCGATGAGCGTTCACATCCTGCTATACGTGGATAGATTTCCACTCCGTCTGTTCCAGAGTCGTTCAAAGAGCTGGAGCGTTAGGTACTATCAAGTTCCAAAGATGCTCATTGAAAGGTCTGGTAAGAACGTGTTCGGAGACATACCGGAATTTCGATAACGTCAGGGGAAAAGAAAGATTATCCGAAGAAAGTCATTCATTGTGCAATACTGTTCGAACAATCTGATCACACATTCACTTGCTAGACCAATTCATATGTGAAAATGAACAAAACGAAGGTCAAATGTGATGAATATGAAAAGACCATGACACCAGTATGCGTAATATAATCAGATGAGAATCACCAGGGTAAACTGAGTGAAACAACAAACCGTTTCTGCACAAGCAGTGGAGGCTTAAGCATACGAATGGCTAACGCTCCGTCAAACGTCAGCATGAGCACTTGGCTGCTCCCATATAATATTCTGAATGCTGTTTTCGTATTGACCTTATGAGTCATTTCGATGATATGCTTTGCGATGGATGAAGATGAACGTCTGTCACCCTGGCCTACCAAATTCGTGTGTTAAACTGTTTTTCAAGCCATTCAGGCCTACGTCCACCCACCCTAGTCTGCGTAGTACGATTATTCCTCCCTACTTATACGTGCCCACATACATGCAAATAGGTAAACACAGTGGGGTGCGACGTAATTATTCATGCGAGGCTGAGTTCCAAGGTGAGGCGGGCGTTTTCTTGCCTCAACGATGATAAACTGAGTTGCATATTATGTTCTACCGATAACAGTCTTAATCTCTGTTTCAGTATCACACTGCTCGTTTCCTCTACGTACGGCACTTAAGGAAAATTATCACTCTTTTAGACGGAGGAAATTATAGGCGCTGGAATTAGCTGTTTTCTACAACGGTTAACAAACTTTATTGGGTATCCATTGTCCATAGGCGAGTTTGTCGTAAATTGGCCCTCACCATCTAATCTACCATATGCATGAATCCGTTGGATCTTACTTATTAGACACCTGACTGAAACCCTCTTATATTTCATCAGACGAAAGCTGTAAAAACTCAAGCACTATCTCATCCAAGAGGGCCATTTGTAGATTGATCCTCTGATAGGTCTATCTTCCATCCAACACAACGGTATATCAAGAAGTGCAAGACGATGGTCCCTTTCCTACCCACATGATAGATTAATATGATCTTGTACGGCAATGACACCTTTGAACAAACCCTTGGCGTCCTTACGCGTCATATTTTAGAATGATTTCAACAACATATCTCATATAGAATGTGGCATTGTTGGGTAAATCCAGAGCTATTAGTTCAGTGTGTGGCATGAATACATCTCTTTATTTACCAATTTACGTGCGTCTGGGCACATATAAGTAGGGAGGAATAATCGTACTACGCAGACTAGGGTGGGTGGACGTAGGCCTGAATGGCTTGAAAAACAGTTTAACACACGGAATTTGGTAGGCCAGGGTGACAGACGTTCATCTTCATCCATCGCAAAGCATATCATCGAAATGACTCATAAGGTCAATACGAAAACAGCATTCAGAATATTATATGGGAGCAGCCAAGTGCTCATGCTGACGTTTGACGGAGCGTTAGCCATTCGTATGCTTAAGCCTCCACTGCTTGTACAGAAACGGTTTGTTGTTTCACTCAGTTTACCCTGGTGATTCTCATCTGACTATATTACGCATACTGGTGTCATGGTCTTTTCATATTCATCACATTTGACCTTCGTTTTGTTCATTTTCACATATGAATTGGTCTAGCAAGTGAATGTGTGATCAGATTGTTCGAACAGTATTGCACAAGTGAACGACTTTTTCGGATAATCTCCTTCTTCCACTTGTGTTATGGAAATTTATTCAAAGGACTTACAGTTCTAAGGTTTCGAAAAGGAGTTATATCAGAAGCCAATAAGAAAATGGCAGTCCTGTCGAATGGCGGGAGGATTGCTGGGTTGTCATTCAAGGATTCTTAGTTTTTGAAGGCGTAGTCTAAACTGGATGGGGTTCGAACCTCTCTCGATCGCTTTGACGTTCTCAAATTTTCTGTAAACCCCAGTTCCATGGTCAGGTTGAAGAATCGTGTTGTCATTAAATTAGTGACAGGCCTTGGACACCTCCCTTAACAAGAGGACCGACAAGGTTACACATTTTCCCTTGCCTCATCGTACGAAAAGTGGGGGACCCTGTTTTAGCTTTTCAAATTTTCAATGGTCACTCAAATAGTGATCTAGCCAATTTATTCACCTCCGAGGGCATCCAGAAAGATTCAAATCCTCCGTTGAACCATATCCAGTGTAGTGTAGATTAGCGCATAGATTGGTCAGTAACTGGAACTCATTCAAACATTTGAAATGTTTATTTATAGAATGAAATAAGCTTACACTCGACTGAGGATGCGAGAGTAGAATCCATGGTCACGGATTCCTGTGGTTGTTGACCTGTGTACAAGTAAATAGAGGGAAAAATAAGCGGTCAAATATGTGAACCGGTTTGTTGGTCAACAGATCCTTAAAAATATGTCAAGGTGGCGTTTAAAAGTCTTCGATGAAGTAGCCTGGATCACTCCTCTAGAAAGAGCATGTGCCCAGCGGTTTTCAAGATGCGAGATATTGGGTTACAAAACAAGTAGTAGCGACTCCTTCCGTGGCCGCTCAGTGGAAAAACTGGGCATTGATGAAGGTACCTAGTGCAAGCATTAGCACAAGCAAGTAGTATGTTTCACTAAAGAACCGTTCTGCAAGACCAAGAAGCGAACAAGAAGAAATCAACGGGTTTATACAAGCTCGTTAAAAAGATATTGGATATTGGACTGTGTACGCAAGCTCGAGAACCAGATATTGAGTATTGAGGTGACCTTGCACAATATTGATTTACTGGTAAGTAGCTTGATTTTTTTGTACTAAGTGTGCCTAACGTATGGTAAAACATATAATTTAGCGTGGGGTGTCATTTTTCGATCAGTTTATTCCTAAAAGCTCTGAAATCAGATGTATATTAAAATTTTTGTTCTTGAATCACTGGGTTTGTTTTTGACTGGATGTTATGATAGTGTGCAGTCAACATTTTCACAAAGCGAATGGTCATGCAGGAAAGTTGCGTTGAAAACTCTGGGGTTCGCAACATTTCCCGGAGTTATGCTCCGTGTTCTTTTGATCCACGTTTTTCTTGAGTTTTCATATTGACCCGCATTTTCTTGCATTTTGTCCTCGTGCACGATCGTGCACATGTTCCTCGAGGAACATGTTCTGAAAATAGTCCTGAGTTTTCCTCTATATAGCTCTGACTTCAAGTTATGAAGTCCCAAAGCTTTTGAAATGTATAGCAAGTGAGAATTTGAACGTTTGAGGTTTGGTTAGATTTTGTAGATAATATCAAACGAGGTATTCGAAGCTAAATATTTCGTGCTGATGTGATGTTGCAAAATAGATGAGCTGACTGGTCTTCGTTGCCGTTTACTACACCATACTGGGAGATGACTAGAATTGGACGAAGGATAGGCCTAGAGAAACGACTTATTTACCTAACTCCACAGGAGCATTTCAGCATTTGCGAATTGTCATTCATAACGGGGCATACTAAAAGGTTAATATGATATGTTATCCCAGGTTTTGTTGCATGTAACGTCTTACGAATAACTTATTCCAGATAGTTTTCCAGAATATCGTCAGCAGTATTGCCCCTGAATTTCAAAGTCAGCAACAGCATCTTCAAAACAGTACGGGAGATTGTTAAAGTGCTCTTGTGTTTCATGTTTTTCTCAGTGAGACCTTATGGGTATCCATTTTTCAAATAGGCGGGTTTTAAGGAACTTAGTTCCTCTTTTATGCAATCTACAAAACAAATTCTGTGGTATCGTGAAAACAGACTAAGTTAAATTTCTCTTTGTGGTTAATGTAACTCAGCTGTAGAATTTAGTCAACTTTCATTCTGTTGGTTTTCTGTAGATGGATCTCTTCAGTGTGGTATTGTCTCTTCTCATCAGCTGAATATATATGGAGGAAATTTTAGAATCTATTTTACATTCTATTTTATTCTCATGATGGTTGACACTGGTTAAAGTACTTCGGAATTTCTTGTGTCAAGTATGTTGTCTCATATAATTGTGTCATCAACATATCTTGGTTGGTTGATCATTACTTTGAGTATACTATTCTCGATATTGGCCTAATGGACATCCCATAGATAGGCAATTTTTTAGTCGCTTCATCTTTTTGTTAAAGATGATTTCTTTTAGGTAAGGCATCCAAATAGTTATATTGTGTTTGTGTAGTCGAATATTATTATTGTGACTTAGCGACTACTGAGATAAACAATCAGCTTTCTGTATTTCTTCTTGCAAGGTAGTTTTCTATAAGAGCACAAAATCAACGTAGAGCCTCACAGAAGTGCATCATATGTTGCCACTCCACAGTAGTATACAAAAAGAGTAAATCGAATATTTATATCAAAGTAGATAGGTGTTTGGCAGAAAAAATACATTGAAGATAAGACTAAGTGGAAGTATTCACTAACTGATTGATATCTGCGCAGAAACTCGCTCACAGGTGTTGGTACACTTTACAGTAGTACAACGTGAATACATGGATAGAACAAGAGTGATATCAAAGTAGACAAAACTGCATGAGATAACAAACAACCTGAAGATAACGTTTAGTAAAACTATTCAAGCTTCAGATATCACGGAGTGAATACGTCTACGCCATTGTGACTGATTTTCAGCTGTGTCTCCGAAAGTTCCCAACCACTGATTCCTTTTGCCTCGGGGACCCCAACCAACCAGTCTACATCTCATATAGGACAAGGCAACGGTAATTGACTTCATCGACTGGTGTCAAGCTTTGATCTGGTCACCTTGAACCTATTTCCAACATAGTTCAACTTCATGACATTTCAAGCATAAATTATTCCTCATAATCATGTCAATGCAATGTTATTCAACTTTTCCTACTATGGCACGTCGAAGTAGGCGTCAGTTTCGCATAGACAACACATCTCCAAGCAGTCTGAGTTTCTCAAGATTCGCGCCTTCATCAATCAACTTGCCTATCTTGCCTAGTACCTTTCGTCTGACCTCAGCATTGCGCACATGGTGATTACACTAAGCGCGAGCAATGCTACAAAGACATGTGATAGAAACCCTGTAATTGCTTCATATCTTCCACTTTTAAAGACCATATTTCAGCCATGTAGCAAAACAAAGAGGATTACAGTGCAGCATACTAGTCGTTTGACAGATGGTTGTTTGTCTCTCGAAGCTGTGCCATAGACGACGCAAGTTGGCAAATACCAAGTGGGCCTTTTGTATTCGGGCTGAGATCTCATCAGCAGTCAGCTCGTTCGAGCTAATGCTTCTCCTTAAGTAAGTGAAGTAGTCGATACATTCCACCGACTCTATAATTAAACTGGGAGTGTTTACAGATCAGTTCTGAAGCATCATCTTACATTCGAAAGGTGCGAAACGCATGACAAACATATTCAGATTCTTACTCAATGCGTTCAGAAGACCTTGCATTTCGTTAGCGTCTTCGCACAGCAGGACAGTATCGTCTGCATACTCCAAGTTAACCAGATGACCTCCAGGTAGGGGAGTAGGTAAATCTGTGAAGTCAGACATACTTAAGTATATGTGCAGTAGTACGTCAATGATGAAGTTAAACAAAAAAGGTGATAGTGGGGATCCCTGGCGGACACCACTAGTTGTCGTTACTTCTGAAGACAGCTCTCCATAAGCCCTTACACAGCTGGGTGCTTTCGAGTGGAGAGCTTTGATAAGCATCATAAACTTGCTCGGTACTTTCATCTCATTCAGATACTGACGCAATAGTTCACGGTTGACAGAGTAAAATACCGCCATCAAGTCGAGACATATAGCAAGTGTTGACCGCCGGTAGGTATCGTTGCGTTCCAGAACCTGTCAGAGGGTAAAGGTATGATAGATACATTCTCTTCGAGGTTCGAATCCTGTCTGGTATTCTTGAATTAGGCGTCAGATGTCTAAGGATCCAAAGATCTTGGACGCAATATTAGTCAAACTGATTTCTCCACGCTTGGATATTTTGGTGAACCCTAACTTTTGAGTACTCCCTCCCCCCATACACTCTTGTCTACTTTGATATCAATCTTTCCTATCCACTTGTTTGATGTATGTTACTTTGAATTGTGACAACATGAACTGATGCATTTGTTTGTGTGAGCCTCTGCGTTGGCTTTGTTGGTCTATCTTCCACAAGAAGACTTTTCTCACTTCTTATTGATTGGAGTGATCAGTGATATAGACCAGTCCGATGGGTCTGCCTCTGTTTCCCATACTCTATATAGTACCTTCTCAAATTTCCTACATCCCCCCCCTAAAAAATTCAGGTGGCAAACCGCCAGGTTCTGCTGCTTTGCATCATCGCGAAGTAGCCTTCTCAGCTTCGAAGAAATTTGGAGGACTGACGTCTACTCATTCAAATTCAGACTGGTTGGATGCTTTGCAACTGAAGCATTACTGTGGGTCAGTGTGCTTCGAAGTACTGTCCGCCCGAAATTTCAACCATATATATTGAGATCGCAGACCTAACCCTTTAGGCAAAGATATCACTGACCATTGTCTTCTTTTTGCTGGTATCCATAATAAGCTTAAATAAGTGTCAGGTATTACCTAACGCTGATACCTCCTTTATTTCTATCGTTTTTGTCACCGCCACTGCTCGTGATCATTGAGAATATTCTTGGTTAATTTACGTTTAAGCTGCTTCTGCTCCTTATTGTGGTCAGAGTCAGTTGGGATGAGTCCTCTCGCATCAATCAGTTCTGATGCCGTCACAGAAATCCAATGACGTTTGCTAACCTTCGAGTCCAGGTTGCCAATTGTCTTTACCGTTGTTTTTACAGCAGACTTAATATCACGTCAGGTTTCCTCAAGATGAGCATTTCTGTCATGTTCAGATAAATACTTAGATATCTGTTCCCAAAATGCGTACTTGACGCTTCCATCTTCTAACAGATAAGCTTGGCTACCACCTGTTTTTAGCGACCAGTAACCCGCAGGCATATACGTGCTGTTATGAATGAGTGATCGGAGTCCAAATTGGTACTCTAGGAAGAGCGAAAGTGTTCACTTATTCCCTCAAACGACAGCTTATTGTTGCATAATTTATCTGCGTCTATCATTGGTTTGATTTTGGCAGGTACCATATGAAACAGTTTATCTATGCGTGTTTGAAGTTAGCAGAGACCAGAAACAAATGACCATCATAACAAGAAACAATAAAGTAAAAAAAAACGTAATTGGTCACCTCAGAACTATTTAGATTGTTTTTAAAGTCAGTTTTAGAAGGCCTTTCCACTGCAGAGAATGGGTAATTGAGTGGTAATGAGTTTCTTTGATTCCCACTGACCATGTCTAAAGTATTCATTATTTTGGTGTGGGGTTTCTGCTCTGTTACCAGGTATTCAAAATAAATGAGTGTCTGGGTAGTACACTGTATGGTATATATATATATATATATATATATATATATATATATATATATATATATATATATATATATATATGATTATTTATTATTATTATTAGTCCCTTGGGTTCCTAGTGGAACATAGGACTTCAGTAGCACGCCTCCAGTGACCTCTGTTCTCTGAGATCTTTTGAACCTGGTTCCACGACAGCCCAGAAGCTCTCATTTCCTCCTCGCACGACCTCCTCCATGTCACCCTCGGACGTCCAACTCGTCGCTTCCCATGGGGATTCCACTCGAGGGCCTGACGCGTGATGTTCCCAGTTGGCCTTCTCAGTGCATGCCCAATCCATCTCCACTTCCTCCTGCATATTTGTTGGGTGATAGGTTCTTGGTTGGTTCGTTCCCAGAGCACCTTGTTGCTTATTCTTTCTGGCCATCTGATCTTCAGTAGCGAGCGTAAGCAGTTGTTGATGAATGTCTGTAGTTTATTGGAAATGCCTTTCGTGACGCGCCAAGTCTCTGAGCCATACAGAAGCACTGACTTGACTGGGTTGGTGTTGAAAATCCGTATCTTGTTCCACATGCTGAGTGCAGTGGAGTAGATCTCCACACTGGTTTCAGGCTAATGAACGCTTGTCTTGCTTTTCCGATTCTGACTTTGACATCCTCGTCTGTGCCTGTGGCGCCTGTAGTTGAAACAGTGCTTCCTAGATAGGTGAAGGAGGTTACTTCCTTTAAGTTTCTCCCGTTGATGGTGATTAGAGTTTGTTACTGGTGGTGGTGCAGTATCTTCATCACCTCTGTCTTCTCTATATTCACTTGAAGTCCCGTCTTCGCTGCCTCTTCTGTCAGCTTGTTAGTTTTTGCCTGTAGATCTTCAAGTTTGTGTGACATCAGGCACAAGTCATCGGCGAAATCCAGATCTTCTAGGATGTTCTCCGTGGTCCAGCGTATCCCCCTCTTCTCACAGCTCCCCACTGTTTGCTGCATGATCCAGTCGACCACAATCAGGAATATCATGGTGGATGGTAGGCAACCTTGTTTCACTCCTGTCTTCAATTCAAAAGCATCACTGAGCTTCCCATTGTGAATTACTTGGCATATGGCATCTTCATATAGTTGTTGAATGAGGAGGATAAAGGTTTGCGGTACTCCGTAGTAATGAAGCAGTTTCCAAATTCGGTCGACGCTGTCAAAGGCCTTCTCGAAGTCGATGAAGTTGAGGTAGAGAGCTGATTGCCATTCTATGCTCTGTTCTATGATGATGCTGTAGCGTTGCAATTCGGTCTGCACATGATTTGTACTTCCTCAAGCCTGCCTGTTCCGGTCGCAGTTTTGAGTCCAGTGCATCCTTAAGCCTCTCCAGGATGATGCGGCTTAATATTTTACTTGGGGTGGACAGGAGAGTGATTCCGCACCAGCTCTTAAAAACACTGAGGTCTCCCTTCTTCGGCAGTTTGACAAGGTAACCCTTCTTCCAGTCAATAGGCAGGTACCTTCTCTTCCTTCCACACCTTCTGCAATAGTGGTGTGGTGTGAGCATGTCCTCTGTTGTCTCTGCGTCTGTTCTCAGTGCTTCTGGCGGGATCCCGTCTGGTCCTGCTGCTTTCCCACATTTCAGTAGCTTTATGGCACTCAGGACTTCCATTTTTGTTGGAGGATTTATGTTCACTTGTAGTTCAGCGGCTGCAGGTGGTATTTCTAGACGAGGTAGTGGTGGTGGTGGTCGATTCAAGAGCTTCTTGAAGTGGTCGGCCCATCGTTTCCTCTGTTTCTCTTCTTTGGTAATTAAATTTCCATCATCATCTTTTATTGGTTTCATCTGTGTTGATCTCTTCCCAGATAGCAACCTGGTTATTTGATACAATGTTGTCAGGTCTCTCTCCTACCTGCAGCCTGTTCTGCTTCACTTGCCAATGTGTCGTAGAAGTGTCTTTTGTCTTTGCGTGCACTCTTTCTTACTTCTTTGTCAGTGTTTTATACATTGTGCTCAGTTCCTCTTGTCGTTGAGCATCCTTGCACTGGTTTATCTTCTGCTTCACCATCCTCCTCTCCCTGCTCTATCAGCTTCCAGGTATCCATCGAGATCCATTCCCTATCCTGTCTTCTTTCTTCTTCCTTTCTAATACGGTTGTGCAGGTTTCTTTCCACATAGCTTTCAAAGACTTCCAGTGTTCTTCTACACAGGTTTCTTCAGGGATGTCCCTCGATGTCTCCCATTTTGTCTTGATGGCTGCCTTGAAGATCTCCTTTGTAGTTTCATCCTTCAGTTTCCGAGTGTTGTACTTGAATTGAGGTCTATCACCAGCTTCCTTGAAGGCTTTTAACTTGATTTGGAAGGTTCCTTGCACTAGACAGTAGGCGGTCTGAACCTACATCTGCTCCTCTTCTTGACCTTGTGTTAAGTAGACTGAGTCTCCATTTTCTTGAGATTGAGGTGAAGTCGATTTGATTTTTGGTGTGTCCATCTGGTGAAATCCATGTCGCTTTGTGGATATCTTTGTGCCTGAACACACTGCCTCCAATCACCAAATCGTTGAATGCACAGAATTCTGCAAACAATTCTCCATTCTCGTTCATCACCTCACCGAGCGCTTCTCGACCCATGGTTAGTTCTCTTCCTGTGTTGTCCCCTCCCAGTTTGGCATTCATCTCGCCCATTAGAATTTTGATATCACCAACTGACGTCTTGTCCAGTGTTGATTGAAGTTGTCTGTAGAAATCCTCCTTTTTCTCTTGCTCTGCATTATTTGTAGGTGCGTGGGGTAGCATTGTATGATTGTGACCTTCCTTCCTTTTGAGTTGAATCTTGCTGTCATGATCCTGGAGGAGATTGGTTCCCACTGCATGAGAGCCTTCGATGCTCTTGAAGGGGACATCATGATAGCCACTCCATAACTCAGTGTGCTCGTGGTTGTCGTCTGGGTGACCGGAGTAGATTATTGATTCTCCAGTTGACAGTTTGGAGAGTCCACTCCCATTCCATCTGCTTTCGCAAATCCCAAGCACTTCGATGTTATACCTTCTCATCTCCTTTGCAATCTGGGCTGCCTTACTGGGTTCAAACATCGTGCGGACATTCCATGTCCCCACGTTTACTTTCGCTTTCATCGAGGGAGAGAAGACACATCACGGCCAATTGGCTTCCCGAAGTCAGGCTTTCACCAACAGGCGTCATTTCGCCTCTTCGATTCCAGCGAGGAATAATTTTGTTTTTATTTTTTATATTTCGTTTGTGCTTTGAAGTTTCTTTAGCGGTTAGATTTGCTTTAGGGGGTAGGGTTGCTAGCCCTATGCCCAACCTTCCCTGTTTACCCGGGCTTAGGACCGGCTAGTAACTAGTGAACTAGTTAACCAGGCGAGGTTATATATATGATTGCCTATCGTAAAATAAAAGTACATATTCGTTTTAAAATATTAGTACTTTTACAAAGGTTCAGATTGAATAATATTAGTAATAATGTTTCTTATAGGTATCATCCTGTTCATTTGTTTCACTGCATATCTCTGCAGTATCCTCTGTATCATCCGGTGGATGAAACGTCGGTCTGACCATTCTAGCATCTTATATGTAGCTTACAAGTTTCATTGGCTGCGATATCAGCCATGCATCTGTGGAATAGTTCGAGGTTAGCGTTTTGCTTATAAATTTGTTACAGAACTGGCTCTATGTTTACTACGTTGTCTGAGTAGTTGTTTACTAGGAACATATAAAATCTTGATAAGTTTGAGTTCTCTGGGCTGAGTTGTTTAATTGTGGAGCTTTCGTTGTCATTCTAGACAATATCATCAACACAAACTTCAGAAAGAAGTAAGCAATAAGGTTTTCTCCGCAATGTATTTAGTAGCTTATCCCAATGGCCTTGTATGTGGTTGGTTGCTCCTGCCAAGGTCTTGTCCTTGTCTCCATGAGTATTTTGATTGGTCGTCTTGACGACCTGAAATTTAACCTTCTTGTTGTCTCTTTTTGGTTGATAAGTTGAGTCAATGTCAATAAGTGTTGATTATTGACTGACCTGAATATCAAGCTTCTATAAATTGTCTCGCATTCTTTGTATTTCCTCTATCCAGCCAGGATTTTCACATTTTCCCATCCAAATTTATGTCCACAGTTGTCTGTATGCAGTGATATGAACGAAGATATGCCATGACGCGTCACTATTTACTAGTTGACGTTCGTGTAAACGGATGTGAAGAGAGTGACCATTTTGTCCGATGTAGTATTTTTCGCAGTTTCTGCAGCTATTTTTGTAGATAATTTTCGATTTCTCTTCCGCTGCTATTGTATTCTAGCTTCCATAACAGAGACTGAAGAGTTTTTGTACGCTTGTAAAATACAGTAGTTCCAAAAGGCTTCAATAATCTAGTCAGGATCTCGGAGACATTCTTCATGTAGTGTAACACAATCTGTTTGTTAGTTTCGAAGATTGAATTTTTGGTTGATGACAAATTATGTAGACATTTTTCAATGAAGTTGCATGGATAGCCATTCTTCTGGGAAATGATCATCAAGTAGTTTTCTTAATTCCTTCGCAGGGTTGGTGTACTACAACTGATTCCGTATGCTATTGGGTTGTTGCTATTGTAGTTAAGGATTCGATCTATACAAGTTGATTTTCTATGTACTTCAGTTTCCAATGGCATTTAAAAATGTAAATTTTTCATTTGATTTTTCTTCAATTGTGAATTTGATATCATCGAAAATGTTGTTGGTTAATTTGTAAACGATTTTCAATTCGTTTCTTTCAATAATGATAAACGTGTCATATACATATCGGCCTCAAAGTTTTGGTTTTACCAACGGTAATTCAACAGTTTCCAATCTTTGTATTACTCTTTCTACAATTAGTTCTGATATAGGCGATCTCATTGGTGTTTCCCTTTGTTTGTAGAGTTTGATGTTGAATTGAAAATATCTTGTAAGACATAAATCAATTAATTTCATCAAACCTGAATATTGTAGTTGTGTGTGTTGCCAGAGATGTGTATTATTGTTGAGGAGAAGAGTCATTGTATCTTTAGTCAGTTTTGGTTCAGTTGAGATGTGTGTAGAGCTGTAACGTCAATGTGAATATGCTTGATCTATTCCAAAAAATTGTGTCGAAGAGTTGATGGAGTAGTCGTTAAATTCCACAAGGTGTTTTAATTTTCTGGAGAGTTCTTTTAAAAGATTGTATGTTGGAGTTCCTGGAATGGAAACAATTGGTCGTAGTGGAACGTTTGTTATTATTTGTCTCTTGGGTTCCTAGTCGAACATAGGGTGTCAGTAGCACGTCGTCATTTCGCTCTCCTCTCCGCAGTCTTCCCAACCTGGCTCTACAACTGCCCAGAAGCTTTCATTTCTAACTCACACGACCTCCTCCATGACATCTTTGGACGCCCAACTCGTCGTTTCCTATTTGGGTTTCACTCGAGGGCATAGCGCATGTCTCCGAATGGTTTTCTCTGTGTATACTCACTCCATCTCCACTTTCTTCTGCATATTTGTTGTGCGATGGGTTCTTGGTTAGTTTATTGCCAACCAGAGTTCCTCCTTGCTTATTCTTATTATTCTGGCCATCTAATCTTCAGTATAGAGTGAGCATAGATGGCAGCTGTTGACGTATGTTTGCAGTTTGTTGGGAATGCTTTCCGTGACATGCCAAGTCCCTGAGCCATATAAAAATACTGACTTGACTGACATTAGTGTTGAAAAGCTTGATCTTGTTCTTTATGCTGAGTGCAATGCAGAGCACTGTTTTCAGATTCATGAAGGCCTGTCTTGCTGTATTTCCGATCCTGTCTTTGATATCCTCATCTGTGCCTCTGTCGCCTGTAGTTGAGACGATGCTGCCTAGATAAGAAGGTGAAAGAGAGAACTTCCTTTAGGTTTCTCCCTTTTATGGTGATTGTTATTGTTGTTGGTTGGGTATCTTCATCATCTCTGTAGTCCTTACGTTCATCTGAAGGAAGTCTCGTCTTCACTGCCCTACGTCTTCTGTCAACTTGTTAGTTTTCGCCTGTAGATCTTCGAGTTTGTGCAACAAGACATTCGACATCATCGGCGAAATACAAATTATCTAGAGTCTTTTTCACCGGTCAAACAGCGTATGCCCATCTTCTCGCAGCTTCTCACCGTTTGTTGCATGATCCAGTCCAGTTCAGTCGACCACAATCAGGAATATGATCGGTAATAGTAGGCGGCAATCTTGTCTTACTCTTTCCTATGTTCACTTCAAAGGCATCACTGAGCTTTCCATTGTGAATCACCATAGAAATGTAAGAGAACAGGTCCATTGGATTTCACTCAATAATTGCTGATGATGCTGTCTAGAATGGCAACGAAAACTTGACGATTAAGTAATCTAGTTCAGAGAACTTAACCCCATCAAAATTTCCCCGCTGAGCTACATATGAAATTGCCGGCTTCTATTAATTAGTGGAGTTTGGGCATATCTTAAAGCATATTGCAAAGTGAAGAACCTGTGGTAACTAGCAAATAGACATACAGATCAATGTAGAACCTGGTACAAAGGCGTATCAGCTCATATGATCACACTTGACAGCAACATATAAAAAAGGAGTCCATTGAAGAAGGATGATTTTATATAGCTGTAGTCATCACTTTACGGTGACTTGATAGACCCTGAATTATATTAATGTTAACGCGTGTACAAATACCTTCAGATTTCACCCTTAAAGCTCACTCAGTTTCTCCGTAAATAGGAAAGGCAGTAATAGAACAGAATGTTTTTTTTGCAACGTCAACAAATGTAGACAAAAAATAAGGTTCATATATATTACCATGACCTTGATTACTTCCATCTCTTCAAATAAACTGATACTTATATGTTGGTTCACGTGTTTTAAACCCTAAACTTCGAAATAAAGCGATTGGTTGAAAAAGGCTTTAACGGTTTACGGCCATTTATGAAGATTATTTTGATGATCTTATTCTACACTATAGCAGATAACATGAAAATTGATGAAATTGACAACCAGAATCGATAGCTAGAACCTCTAGATAATATGACTCAGAATCGATTTTATCGGTGCAGATGCATCCATACATTCATTGTCTTCACTGGAATCGTCATTTCATATTTCTTTGTTTGTTTTACTCTCTTTCTTCTATTGTAATGACTTTCTACGACTTGTGATTACATTTTCGTCTTAACTGTCTATCTTTCGTCATAGTGTCTTGTATGTTGATGTACTGACGTAAAGTTAGACTAGTGAGGCCGGCGAGATATCCGACTATCTGTCCAATGTATGAGTATACTGGACTGCAGTCCATTTTGTCCTGTTGTACAACTGTGAGATATGGCCGTTAAAAGTAGATGAGATGAAGGGACTACAAGGTTTTGTTCACAGATATCTTCGTAGCATTGTTCACGTTTGTTGGAACCACTGTGTGAGCAGCTTTGAGGTCAAGCATAGGGAACTAGGCAAGACAGACAAGTCGATTAATGAGGTTGCAAACCTTCATCAACTCAAGTGACTTGGACATGTGTTACACATGCGGATCACTGCCTACCTCGACGTGTCATCTTAGTGGGAATTGGTACAGGGTTTAGGATAGCGAGACCAAGATGGCAACAGTCGATGAAGTCCCTGACTGTTGGCCTGAATAGTATGCAGCAATGTAGATTGCCTGGTTAGGGTCCCCAAGGCGATAACAATCAGTGGTTGAGGACTTTTGATGGTATAGCTGAAAATCAGTCACAACAACGATGCTTTCAATAACCCTTATCTTCAAATTGTTCATTCTCTGATATACCTTTGTCCACTTTGATATCATTCTTATTCTATCCACCTGATCTTTGTATGCTATTATGAAGTATTAGAAGTTGAGCTGATACACTTCTGTTCAAGGTTCCACTTTGGTTTTGTCTGTCTATCCAATGTTAAATGAACACGGATTGATCTAGTAGGTAGTAATAGTCTTCAAGTACCACGAGTAGTGATATATTGAAAGAATTAGTTGTTTCAGTCTTCAACAATTGATCTGACTAGCTAATGACGATTAAAAACAGAATAAATTACATATATATATATATATATATATATATATATATATATATATATATATATATATATATATCATCCTCTATGGGATTATACCTTATATTCTCATCAAGAACATCATAAAATCATTGAAGTTATGTTACTTTGACACTAGTTTATCGTTATATCCACTTAAGAGAAAAAAGGGTAAAAGTAAGATGTATCACTAATTGTTTCTCCTTAAAACTGCTTTTTTTTTTTAAGCTCTTATAATTCAACGATTATTATGTATATAAAAATGTTTCTTGTTATAATTTTCTTTTAAGCTTGATAATGTCAGTAGATTTACCTGAAGCTAAAGCTGATACTTTACAAGAAGTTTTTTCAGAAAAATTTCAATATATCAATTTGGATCATTATAATATTTATCATTTTGAAGAGATTTTGATTGATGGTCGACGATATCAGTTTAGATTATCTTCTAAAGGTGATCTAATGACAGTAGTAACACATATAGCTGGGAGAGCAATTCTCTTAGTATCTGTATGGACAAATATGGATTATGAAAAACGTCTTGGTGAAATTCATCAATATATTTTAGAAATGGAGCGTACAGGATCTATTCCTATCGATTTTCGAGGTAGGTTTTTACTTAACCTTTTTTTCCACTAAATCCAATAATCATTATCATCATCATCATCATCAATATCAACATAAGACCAGGCATTACTGAGTAACCGTCCGAGTTGCCGCCACACCTCATATCACGACATCAAGTAAAAAGGCAGTCAGGCGAAAGATGAAGATAAGAAAATTCAGTCAAAAGAGATATAAAGTACTAAAAGGGAGAAATGAAGAACGAGAAAACGGTGAGATTCGGTATAGCGTCGTTAAGGTGAGGATAATCTGTGTATCTGTATACATCTGAGCCACTCACATCGGTTATGAGTCATATCACCCTACAGACAGTCTACAACCACTGGTTCCTCTTGTCCCACCAACTCAAACCACCTAGTCTGCATACCCTCCCTCCCCCCCACACGACTCACACCAACAGTCAAACACTTCATACATTAATGTCATGTTTCAGTCTGACCACATCGAGCCTTTTTCCAACCTACACCTACTTCGGTCAACATTGTGTGATGAGATAGGATAGATGGCAACTAGGCATGCATAACACATCTCCCAACCAGACATCTCAGTCGATGAAGGTTCATAACCTAATCAACTGATTTACCTCTTCTCCCTAAAACTCTACACTTGAGTCTGACTTCTGAGTTACTCATGTGGTGACACCACAGAATATGGCCTACACTACGAAGGCAACGGTGGTCGAACACTTGAAGTCTTCTCATATCTTCCACTTTAAATGGCCATATGTTTCACAGTCATCCAGTAGAACACAGTGGACTGCTGTGCAGTACGCGTAACTCTTAATAGGCAATCGGATATCACGGTGGCGCCATAGGTGGTGTAAGTTGGCAAAAGCCAACCGAGCTCTTTGTCCCCGTGCAGAGACATAAAGTATTATAATATTTTTCATTTACCACCTAGGTTGTATCAGCACTAAACAATACAATTTAATACTTCCTGATTAGAAGTAGTATTCATCATGCAGTGACACCAGTTGGGGAACCATTGAAAATCTAGGAGCACTGGACAGCTGTTTCATCCTAGTATGAGACTCTTCAGCAGTACGCTCACTGATTAAATTGTTTTCCCTTTAGCCAATATATCTCCTCCTTGACATGAAACTGTGATACTCGCTATTGATTCCGAAACCTTCAATTCTTATTGTATTCAGTCACTTCTCAGTTCGTTTAAGGGAGATTCTTTTCTCTACTCAAGTAGGATGAAGGTTCAGTAAAAACGAGAGTTGTCTATGGGGTCATTGTTTAAAGCGTCTAACTTACACCTACCTGCTTCGTTTACCGTTAGATGCTACCCATTGCCTTGTGCTCAAAACTAAACATTACTGTTTAAAGATATGAACAAGATTTCAAAACTGTTCGAATCCAATGTATAATTGTTGACATTCATTGAGACGGAGATTGATTTATTATGTTACTGTTACTTTTAGTGTTTGTCAATTGTAAAAAAATAGTTTAGTGATTAGACTGGCCAACTTATCAATACAATCAATCATTATAGCTGAATTTATAGACCGTATGTTTTATCTTCCTCTAAAGAATGAGTTTTTCATTCGCCGAATGATATTCTCTTATGATTTTGTTTATTTGTACTACTGTGATCCTAAACAGATACCACACCTTATAATGTACCACAACTGTGAAGTTTATATTCCCATGCATGGGGCACAGAACAACAGTCAAAGGCATTTTAGTCTCACTGCCCCTAACATTTTTTCTAGCTTCATCCTACTTCAGTTAACATTGGACAATGAGACAGATAATGATTCAATGATTGAAATCTTGATATATCAACCACTATATTCCAGATATCACTGATATGGCTCAGAACTGATGTGAGTGGCGCAGATGTATACAGATACACAGATTATCCTCATCTTAACGATGCTATACCGAATCTCACCATCTGATCGTTCTTCCCTTCTCTCCTTTCGTACTTTGTATTTCTTCTGACTGAATTTTCTTATCTTCATCTTTCGCCTGACTGCCTTCTTACTTGATGTAGTGATATGAGATGTGGTGGCAACTTGGACGGTTACGCAGTGGCCGATGAAATCTCTGCACGGGTACAAAGAGCTCAGTTGGCTTTTGCCAACTTACACCACCTATGGCGACACCGTGATATTCGATTGCCTATTAAGAGTTACGCGTACTGCACAGCAGTCCACTGTGTTCTACTGGATGACTGTGAAACATATGGCCATTTAAAGTGGAAGATATGAGAAGACTTCAAGTGTTTGACCACCGTTGCCTTCGTAGTGTAGGCCATATTCTGTGGTGTCACCACATGAGTAACTCAGAAGTCAGACTCAAGTGTAGAGTTTTAGGGAGAAGAGGTAAATCGGTTGATGAGGTTGTGAACCTTCGTCGACTGAGATGTCTGGTTGGGAGATGTGTTACACATGCCTAGTTGCCATCTATCCTATCTCATCACACAATGTTGACCGAAGTAGGTGTAGGTTGGAAAAAGGCTCGATGTGGTCAGACTGAAACATGACATTAATGTATGAAGTGTTTGACTGTTGGTGTGAGTCGTGTGGGGGGGAGGGAGGGTATGCAGACTAGGTGGTTTGAGTTGGTGGGACAAGAGGAACCAGTGGTTGTAGACTGTCTGTAGGGTGATATGACTCATAACCGATGTGAGTGGCTCAGATGTATACAGATACACAGATTATCCTCACCTTAACGACGCTATACCGAATCTCACCGTTTTCTCGTTCTTCATTTCTCCCTTTTAGTACTTTATATCTCTTTTGACTGAATTTTCTTATCTTCATCTTTCGCCTGACTGCCTTTTTACTTGATGTCGTGATATGAGGTGTGGCGGCAACTCGGACGGTTACTCAGTAATGCCTGGTCTTATGTTGATATTGATGATGATGATGATATGAAGAGTAGCTTTGGAAAGAAATAGGCGCATATTATTCACCATCATTTTATGTTCACATTAAAGGCAGTTTTAAAATATTCATAGTTTTGTAGCAATTCATCCTTCATTGTAGACCCTGGAAGAATGAAAGATGTACGTGAGAAAACTCTGAGAGATCTAGTCAGTCGAATCTAATGATTATATAATTGATAAGGTAATTTTTATTCTCTTAAATACTCATCATAACTGTGAGCTAAAGTTTACAGTTATTGGAAATCGACTCACTTTTTTTCATTCACCTCAGTTTAATGTATTCCAAAGGGAAATATTATGTACTTTTATATGTATCCCCGCAACTTCTCACGTGGTAATAAGTGAGTGGATCGTCTTTGTGGATAGCTTGGAGGTGGTTGGTATTGTAAGTTTATTCATTGGATTCTTTTTGTGGTTGGAATACTTGAGTTATTATAGTGTGCTGAGACTATGCTAAGGTGAAGGTGATAAGAACTAACCAGTTTATTCGCCGGTAGATTGACAAGTTGTTCATAAGACGTCAAGTAATGAATATATCATTTTTCAGCCATGTCATCAAGAGTCCTCAACCAATGGTTTCTTTCGCCTCGGGAACTTCAATCAGTCAGTCCACATCTTTTAAGCACGGCTCTGATCAAGAGGCTGAAGACTTTTGAAAAGATAAACAAAATAGCTCAAAAGTTGCTCTATTAATCTCTAGATATTAGTTAACACGATGTAGTTGATTCATACATTGTCGACTATGGTCATTCATAAGTAATTGACGTGTAATGTTACACACAGTCAGTGTTGTTATATCTGCATATACCGCTTTTATGATAACTAACAAGTTGAATTTTGAGGGAGTTGTGGGGATTTGGAAATATTTCAAGTTGTTATTCATCATAGACTGACAACAGTTGGAGGAACAAAGGAAACCTGGGAGCACTGGACAGCTGTTTCATCCTATCCCTGGTGGGGTCGTGGGTGCGCACTGGTGAGGATTCCCATACTAGGACGAAACAGCTGTCCACTGTTCCCAGGTTTCCTTTGTTCTTCCAACTGATGTCAGTCTACGATGAATAACAACTTGAAATATTTCCATATCCCCACAACTGCCTCAAAATTTCAATTGAACGGGTGCTCATTGGTGACCATCTTCGAGAGGTATTCCCGAAGTTCCAATACAAAGTCGTGACCGGTGGGGGCAAAGCCTGGTGGTTTTGAGGATAGTTACTCAACGATGACACTGGGTGGCGGTTGCGCTATATCGTGAACTAACAGAAGTTGGAAATATAGACCATTGGATTCTGACCCAGTGGCTCAATGGTTATATGCTGGCCACGGGTTCGATCCCTAGTGGTGTGCACTGTTAAAGAGTCCCATACTAGGACAAAACAGTTGCCCAGTGCTCCCAGGTCTCTTTTGTTCCTCCAACTGATGTCAGTCTACGATAAATAACAACTTGAAGCTAACAAGTTATTTAGCTAACTATTTCCTCTCCTTTCATCCTCTTAATTATAGGTATGCTTGGTCGAGGGAATGAACAAATGGTATCATAATTCTTTTCATCTCATCTGTCCAAAATAACGAGTATATCCAGGGTATATGTTCACATTTTGCACTTCTCTCTACACTTTTATATGTATATGGTATGTATGTAGGTATCATTTTGTATATTTCTTTGTTTAAACAGTGCAAAACTAAAGTAGAAAGCTAATTTTTTATTTATTTTATTTCAATGATTCAATGGTAACAATATATAGTCCATTATGGGGTAGTCTCTAGAGTTCCACGTAGGACAGCTAAGTAATTACCACTAACTTTGTTTTCCATTTTAAATGATACTCGAAGTATAAGTCAAGTGGTTAACCTAGTAGCTGAATTCTAACTCCTGTTACATAATTTAAATGCAGATTGTCAGACTAAGTTGATATAACCTTCTACTGTTCTGTGGTATGTGGATGTATGACACCATCATTCTAGGCTTCTGGATAAACTTATCGGTCAAGTGGATTCCCATATATTAGGCTATTAATGAAAAGTTTGAGTTGATAACACCTAAGGTCTCCAGCAAACAACTTCTGTTATCACTTAGACTATACCCTGGAGTCTACGAGCTAAAACCAACCGTCAGAGATTTCATTCATTGACACCATTTTTTTTTGTCTGGCTACCTTGTTCTAGACTAAGCTTACGTAACATATATCCCAGTCACCTCAATCGATGAAGGTTCATAACCACATCAACTAACTCTTCTCTCTAAAACTCTAAATCTGACTACTGCTTTACTGATGTGGTGACACCACGACATATTGCCTATGTTACTATGGTCGAACACCTGGAGTCTCATGTCTAGTACTTATACTGGCGATGCTTAACAACCATATGGCAGAAAAGGGTGAAGTTGGAGCTTAATAGGTAAGCCGTACCATGAGTAGTATAAATTGGTTGCAGAAAAAGTAGCTCAGTAGTAAAGTATTTGATTATGGGTAAAGGGAGTTTCAGATTTACATCACTAATTGGGTGTTGGTTCTGTTTATATTGTAGATATGACTTGTCAGCAAGTGCCAATCACCAAGGAAATCTCCTTACAGAAGACACTTTAAACCTGTAGTTGTAAAAGAAGCAACCAGATAAAGCATCATTCACGTTAAAGCACTTCTTTCAACTGTTGCCACGCTATTATTTAGGGAGTTATTAACTGTATTATTTCGATATCAGTTGTATTAAGCAGAATTCGAAAACTTTTTGAGATAAATGAATGGGAAACCTTTTACAGTAGTGGATCAGTTCACGTCATTATGCAAAGAATAAGTGAACGAAAAAAGAATGATATTAAGGCGGACAAAAAGTGTACTACAAGAGGTTAGTAGACATGTTCAAAGTTTAGAGTGTATACGTCTATACCATTATGATCAATATTAGACTATATCGCTCAGTATAGTAATGATGAGCAGTGGAATCCAGGATGCTCGTTTCGTCCTATTTGGGACTGGTCAGCTGGATGTACCTGCTTCCCAGTGAGTGACGTTGTTCCCACCGGGACTTGGAGTCGGGAGCGGTCGCTTCAAACGTGAGAGCGTTATCCACTACACCACTGAGCCACGATAGCCACTTCTTGCTCATCCTGGATTCCACTGCTAGCCACTACCCATCATTACTTTACATCATTAAAACACAGGCAATATCGAGGCATCCGCACAGGAGCCCATATACCAACAGAGACTGATCAATTCGGTCCAATCAACGACTGTGTCATAAAAGCAATAACATTATATCGCTAAGTGTTTATAATCATTTTTTTCGTAGCATTTGAAAGATCCTAGCTAGTCAGCCTGCAACTGTCTACATGGTTCAGAAGTGTAGTCAAAGTCTTCATGTCTGCATCTTGATCTGATCATGTTTAACTTTCCTTCGAATACATATTAATTTTTCATGGTAGTTACTTTTACTTTTTTTAATGGAGACGAATAACAAGTATGTGTAAGTATCATAGATTTAATAAAATGATCAACATGAAACTTTAAATCTGCGTTTCGTTCCTATTGGTACTAATCAGCAGTGTATATCTCTGACTATAAAGAAATCGGTGTTTCCATGATGATCCCAAATTGTGTCACCTATTGATTAACAACTGGAAAAATCAACATACATAGAAATGCACCTAGAAGTACATCAACTTAAGTTGCCACACATCATAGTGATATGTTATGTTTTGTGGAGAATGAAGGCAGGAAGTGTGACTTGTCAGCTGGATGTAATTCGATCCTGATGAGTGCTGATATTGCCAGCATATTTCGTTTCAGATGCCAGCGTGTTATTCGTTAGGCTACTGAGGTTCAAGTGCCACCCTTTGTGCAACATCTATCACTTGATACGTAACTAACGATAAATCACAATTGATACTCGTTACACAAGAGGTGAATGTCATACTTCAGTAGCTTGAAGCGTTAAGTTCTCGATTCGATACTCACTAGGATCACCATCACCCCAAAATGGAGTCACATTCAGCTGACACTCATTTTTAGCGGCTGTGGGTTCTTGTTAAGTTTCGTTATTCAAGCTAATGAATGATAGTTGTTCTAAATGGTGTGAGGGAATCTGCAAGAAACCCTGAAGTTAGGCTCGCTCTGTGGGGGTTATAGGCACTCTTCAATAAGGAGTAGTTGAAACCTTGTGTTAGTTAGTACTGTCTCAGATATCCGAGTCGGTATCTATTATTACTCCAGTTAGAAGTGACATCAATGAGCTATTTGGGTCATCACTAATCTCCTGTAGGACTGAATGAAACGTGAAACCTAGATCTAAGACTTCCTGGCGATTGTCTCCAATAGATCAATCAACAGATTTATACCATATTTGGAGTCAAATATTTTTCTTGCTTAAGTTGCATCAATCAGCTGATCAGTTACATACGAAGAGATTTGAAAAACAATCTGAGTGAACGATGAATGAATGGTTAATAGCAGTTTGTTTGTCAAGAAATATCAACAACACATTGATTCAATTTTGCACCCTAAAACGATCACATATTCATATTGAATTATGACAGTCTCATCGAACATACATTCAGCGTTTCATGTCACATACCAATCTATTTTCCGTCTCATTTGTTTCGCAATGAGGCAATTAGTTGTACCTAGGATACATATTTCAATCTGTTCAAAGTCTGTTGGCTAGGTATATTATTATTTGTCCCTTGGGTTCCTAGTTGAACATAGGGCTTCAGTAGCACGTCACAATTTCACTCTGTTCTCTGCAGTCTTTTCAACCTGACTCCACCACTACCCAAAAGCTTTCATTTCTTCCTCATATGATCTCCTCCACGTTACCCTTGGACGCCTAACTCGTCGTTTACCCTTTGGATTCCACTCGAGGGCATGGGCTGGCGCGTGATGGTTTTCTTTGTGTATATCCAATCCATCTCCATTATCTTCTGTATATGCTGGCTAGGTATAGCTATATCCCATTGAATGATACTGTCCTCATTCAGACCAGTAACCCAGAAGGTACCTACCATTTCAAACGTTAAAGACTAAGCCACTGAGTCATGAGAACCACCTCTTATGCAGCAGTTACTAGTTGATATTTCGAATTGACGATTCTCCATTTATCAAGTCGGGCTGATTGGTTTGTATTGATAGAGGGATATCTTGGGACTTTCTTCCAGTGGTTCGGTTGTAGTTTGTACCAAAATTTTAAAAGATTGTCAAAACGTGACAATTTTCGTGAGTGCATGATATGTTCGATTTCATCTGGAAACTAGTTCATCCTTGTACAAGTTTAGACTTTTAGTCAGGGGTAATGATGGTAGTATGTAGAGGTCAACTGGTGTTCTTTCCATGGATATGGAGAAATAGGCAATCGATAAGATTTGAAGGAGAAACAAGTATATTTCAGCGAAGAGTCTCTTTTCAACGATTTCATCTTCAAAGCTGTATAATCGGAAATTAGTGTTATTGCTTGTATGACACCGTCGTTAATTGGACCGAATTGATCAATGTCTGTTAGCATATGGGCTCTTATGCGGATTCAGCGAGGAGGAGAATGTTTGAGATGGAGGTGAATACTACAGTTAATTGTGCTGGGACGCGCGGATAAATGCAATTAGCCTCTTGTCCATTTTGAAACTGTTATTTTAGTACTGCGAAATAAAGGTATTAATGGCGCTGTTCTCTTTTACTCAGTTATCACTAGTCAGTATAACAATGAAATTTTCCATCTGATTAATATTTCTTATAATGAAATTATGAAGGAAATCAGAATGTACTGAAACATGCGTCGTGTCCTGGTTGTTCAGACACATATATTGTTTTACACAGATGTTGGATAGTGAAGAAACGAAGTTACATTATTCCATATCTAATGAGCATCGTCTGTGTTCTGTCTAACAATCTGCGTTTACCTGCGGAAAAATGTCAGCTGTCATAGGGAGCACATGTGCTGATTGTTACACGTTACGTCTTACTGTCTGTTAACGGATTTGATTTATTGAGAGATTGCAGATACTCTGCATATGCAGTGTAAGTGATAAAATGAAGATAGGAGAAGACCGATCTATTCGCTTTAACCAACGACGGTATAATGCAAGGAATAAGACTAAAACTACAGTCGTCGCACAAGAGGTGGGTATGATAGCTCGCTGGTCTTGTGGATAACTCTCTGGGTTTGAAGCGATCGGTCGTTTGTTTAAATCCCACTACTATCCACTACCCATCATTACTATACTTAAGGATTTGATGGTTAAAAATGGTTTCACAAGCATGACAATACAAATGGTGTCAAAATCAAAAAAAACCAAGAACTGATGGGTGGTGAATATTAATCAAAATTAGTTTGAACAAGAAGTTTCGTAACATGACGACATCTATAAAGTGAAAAGTAACCTCCCAAAAACTGTATGTCTTCGGATTCTCTGCATCACCGAAGCTCTTGCTATCCATATGCAGAAGTCTGAACTGTGTACACAAAAGAAAATTGCTAAACCCTTTCTCTTTTCATGGTCTTAGTTTTCAGTCTCCTCTACTCCTCCACTTTTTTTTTATTTCCACACTATTTACTTCTTAAGTAATTTACTACTCATTCTTGTTGTTATGTTCTGCCTGATTACAATTCAGTTTTCAATTATATCGTCATGTTTCAAAACTTCTCGTTCAAACTCTTCAATTGTACATCTTTGAAAATGAAATCGCCGAAAAGAGACTCTTCGCTGAAATATACTTGTTCTTACTTCAAATAGATAAGATCACTGGAAACTAACTG